GGTGTAATGATTGTACATTACCGCAATCTATTCCGTAATTATGATGTGTTCTTGTCCTAAACAGTTACCTTTCTCTATGTAAATAATTTGGTTCCTCTTAAGTGTACAAATTGATGAGATGAAGCCGCTCATCTTGTTGGGGTGCTGAGCTGTTTCTTAATGTTTTTGACTCTGAACTTCTTATATTTTCTGCTAGCCTATGAAAATTGCCCCCACTTTATTGACTGAAATAATTTTTAGTTGGTATTTGATGAAATTGCAACTTATACGTTACAAACAATCTATAATTTTTTTTATTAATTGAAACTTCGCCTAGGTTTTTAGCCGGAACTGTAAATTTTACTAATTAGATGACAGAAATAGTCAAAATTTGATGCAAAAAGGAGCGGGTCACAGAGGATTGTTTCTTAGAGGCATTTAGAATATCGGGTATTATAGAACTATCCCGGCACTGTACAGAACACATGCCAATAACAAAGATTCTAATAATAGTATATATGGAATATGAACAATTTATACTTCTCTTATGATGGAAAGTTATTGTGTCAACAGTAAACACCTACCCGCTACAATAAACACCTATCGGCGTTAGGTTCAGATGATCCCAGTGTCTCCAATTAAGAGTGAAAAAAATAAAGTGAGTGAGAGAGAAAGAGAGAAAAATAGAGAGAGTTTCTTCTTATAAAGAGAGATTTTAACTTCTAAATTTTTCTCATAATAGATTCTTCTATCCTTGCGTGTGGTTTTTACCCCAAATTCATTTAGGGGGTTTTTCACATAAATCTTTGTGTTCATTTTATTACTTCTGCTCTACTATTCGTTGGGACCTTACTCTATTGGGCCCCGGGTTTCTCCGAATAAGTGATATCAGAGCCTGGTTTAGGGTACGTGTATCTGCTTATGATGTGTTCTGTGGCTACCACTAAAAGTGGATCCTCCACATCATAAAATAAGTTAAATTATCATTTACCCTTTGAAGGCACTAGACACTATTCACGAGTACAGTACTATTCACAAGTATGATTACTATTTATGAGTACGATTACTATTTATATACACTATAACAAATTGCACTTATCCCAACGCTTATTCCCGACACATGGTTAAATGTCGCCAAAAGTTATGTTTTTCCCGGCGATTTTAATTAGCATAGGCAAAACACATATTTCCCCCCACGTTTATAATTAGCGTCGCTAAAAGTGTATATTATTTGTAACATTTTAACTTAGCGTCGTTAAAAGTGTATGGATTTCACGACGTTTTTCATTTTCGTTGGTAAAAATATATATTTTTAGCGACGTTTTAGGGTTGGCGTCGCTAATAGTGTGCATTTATCGCGATGTGTTAGGTTAGCATCGCTAAAAGTATTTTTTTCACTACGTCCCTTCTTTGTGTCACTAAAAGTTCTCTATTTTTTACGACGCTTTTTTATTCATCTGCGTTCGCCAAAAAAAGTCTGCAACTCCCCCCACCCCCCTCCCTAAATTTTTATTTCACCGCTATGGAAAAACCCTAAAAATCTATTCAGATCCCTAGTTCTCCTCCTTTGCCTCTCATCCTCCGCTCAAACTCCCGTCCTCCCCTCTCACCTCCTTCTCGTGTCGATCTCTTTTTGTCTGTCACCTCTCCTCGACAGAGCAAAACCCGCCACCCCTCCTTCACTCATGCTCGTCCTCCGACGATCTCCACCTCGTGTTTCCCTCCTCTCCTTGGCTCCCTCCGTCTGTTGCCTCTCCTTCACTTCCCTTCGTTCGACATCTCCGCTTGTTCGCCTCTCCGATCCTCTCGCCCCTTCACCACCATGGCCACTGCTTACAAGCCGGAGCAAGCTAGGGTTCCGCCCGTACTCCCCTCTCCTCCTCCACCCATCTCCAAGGTAAGTTTTTTTCCCTATGGATTAGTTCCCTAATTTTACAAATTTTTGTTTTTTTGGTCACTGAGAGAGTGAATTTTTTTTGTAGTTTAAGATAGCTTTGTGCCAGTTGTTTGTGACTACGGATAAAGAGAGGAACATTGCGCACACTCGAAAGGCCATCGAGGAGGTTGCTGGTAAAGGAGACGAGCTCGTGCTGTTGCCTGTAAGTTTGGGGGGGAAATTTAAGGAGTTCGAATATTTATACTTAAATTAGTTAGATAGATTACTTGAAGGATTGTCTAGCTATTTGTAGATAATTAGTGGATACAGGAGTGGTATTTGGGATGGACTTGTACATGCGAATAGAAGTGGATTTTAAGGAGAAGTCTCTTTTTATTTTATAGATGGTGTGATGTTTTCTTTTTAAATTGCTGAGTATGTGAGCTTCTTGTATTGATGTTTTGCTTTCAAAATGCACAAATTGGGAGAAGTGGTAATATTATAACAAATGGAACAAGGATAACTGGAGATATGTCTAAGACAACTTGAGTGAAAATAGTTAAGGAGGATAAGTTAGTGATTAACTTAGTGGAGGAGATGACCGTTAATGGAAATGAATAGAAGAACATGATTTACATAGCTAACCCCTAAATTTTTGGGACTAAGGATTTGTGTTTGTTGTTGTTATAGGGGCTTCCCATAATTGTGAAGTATTCTTGTTCCTTTCCTAGCAAAGTTTTGGTTCTTGTGTAACTGTTGCATTCCTCATATTGAATTGTATCCTTATGCATATAATCTGAAATTGCAAACTTTTATTAGCAAAAAAACTACCTTTTATTGTGTTTCATGTTCTCTCTTTTGTTATGGAAGATGACACAAATGCTATCATATTTGTGGTAAGACGTTCTCGTAACATTTATGTTTTTGACATTCATGCTAGGAAATATGGAATAGTCCAAATTCAAATGATAGCTTTAGTGTATGCCGAGGATATTGAGGCTGGTGGTGATGCATCTCCGTCATACTCTATGCTTTTCGAAGCTGCTCACACTCTTCAGATTACTATCATTGGAGGCTCAATACCAGAGTGACGTGGTGACCACTTGTACAATACTTGTTGTGTTTTTGGGAAGGATGGAGTTCTCAAGGGTAAACATAGAAAGGTACAAGGTAAAAGTAAATTTGATGTTTGGATAGATGAGATATTAATTTGCTGAGTTGCTACATGATTTATGCAGTGTGCATTGAGAATTTGTAATTCTAAGTTATAATGTGCATATTGTGTTAAAGGTTCAAGCTGTTTCTGGATAAAATGTAATTATAATATTAAAACTTAGGATTTATTTTAGATTGCTTGATAAGGGAACTTTCTGTAGTTTATTTTGAACATAGTTACAAGTTTAGTTTGTACTTTTTATGAGCTTGACTAGATACACGTATAATTTATTAGTAACTTGGCCTAGTTGTGGCCTTTCACCAGATAGAAAGAAAATAAGAAACTAGAAATTTAGTGACTTGGTTACTGTTGATACAAGTCTAATGCGACCAGAAGTAGCTTATCATTTCTAGATGCAACTATATATCTTGATGCAACCCTAGGCATTGCCCAAATTTATTGACTTCAGTGGTATGATTAAATGAGAATGTACTTCAAGTCTGTTAAAGTAAGAGAGAGAATCTTGGATAAATTTTCCTTGAATTGAATATTGAGTATGCACCTATATTTATACAAGTAGAGGAGTGTGAGGTTTGTTCTCCCAAGCAATGTGGGACACCCACTACAATACACTATTATCAACAACCCCCTTCAAACTCATGTTGGATCAAACAAAGTGAGTTTGCGTACAAGAAACTAGAACCGATGAACAAGTAAGGCCTTTGTAAAGAAATCTGCAAGCTCGTCAGCGGATGAAACATTAGGAAGTAGAATTGTCTTGTCCTTGATAACTTGGTGACGGACAAAATAAACGTTGATCTCAATATGTTTGGTCCTTTCATGAAATACTGGATTATTAGCAATCTGGATGGCACTCTTATTATCACAGTAGAGAGGAGTAGGAGTCGTAACAGAAATGCCGAAATCACTGAGAAGGCGAAGAAGATGAATAATCTCTTTAGCTGTTGTGGACATTGCACGATACTCTGCCTCAGTACTGGAAAGAGCAATAACATCTTGTTTCTTACTTCGCCAGGAAATAAGGGAATCACCAAGAAATATACAATAACCTGTGGTAGACTTTCTGGTAGTTGGATCACCAGCCCAATCAGCATCAGAATATGCACAAAGCTCTAACTTAGATGTAGCAGGAAACAAAAGTGAGCGAGTGCTAGTACCCCGGAGGTACCGAAGAATCCGTAATAAGACAGCATAGTGTACAGAACGTGGGGCACTAACAAATTGACTGACAATACCAACAGCATGAGAGATATCTGGTCGAGAGATGCACAAATAGACCAACTGACCAACAAGATGTCGATATCGGGTAGGATCAGATAGAGGCTCACCGTCAGTAGAGCAAAGTTTGACATTCTGCTGGAGTGGAGTATCGACAGTTGTATTATCAGTTAACTCAGCTTGATTTAGAATATCTGAGAGATACTTCTGTTGAGACAGTAATACACCCCGCGGGCCTTGAGAAATTTCTAGACCAAGGAAATACCGAAGAGATCCAAGATCCTTCATGTGGAACTGTTGTTGCAACTGAGATTTTGCGTATTGTATACCTGTCATATCATCACCTGTAATGATCATATCATCTACATAGATGAGTAATAAAACTCTGCCGCGCGATGTAGTGCGAACAAACAGAGAAGCATCTTGATGACTTTCTATAAAGCCCGCTTTGAGCACGACATCGCGAAAACACTCAAACCAAGCGCGGGGTGCCTGCTTGAGACCATAAACAGCACGGCGAAGGAGACATACATATCCCGGAGGAATATTTGACCCTGGAGGCGGTTGCATATATACGGTCTCTGATAAAGAACCATGAAGAAAAGCATTTTTGACATCCATCTGGTATAAGGGCCAACGATGAGCAGCAGCGACCGCAAGGAGAGTACGAACAGTGGACATCTGAGTAACA